AAAAAAAAAAAAAAAAAAAAAAAAAAAAAAAAGCGCCTGGCTTTGAATTTCCAGTAATTCAAATAAAGTAAAAAGATCCAGGTTGCTGGGCATGGTGGCTCACGCCTGTAATCCAAGCACTTTGGAGGCCAAGGCAGGCGGATCACGTGATGTCGGGAGTTCAAGACCAGCCTGACCAACATGGTGAAACACCATCACCATCTTTTTTTTTTTTTTTTTTTAAATAAAACCAGGTTGTGTGCAGTGGCTCATGCCTGTAATCCCTGCACTTTGGGAGGTGGAGGCAGGAGTATCACTTGAGGCTAGGAGTTTGAGACCAGCTTAGGCAACAAAGCAAGACCCTGTCTCTAAAATATAAATAAATGAATAAAAATTAAAAATTAGGTGGCTGGGTGCAGTGGCTCACACCTGTAATTTCAGCCCTTTGGGAAGTGGAGGGCGGGTTGGATCATCTGAGGTCAGGAGACCAGCCTGGCCAACATGGTGAGACCCCATCTTTACTAAAAATATAAAAAATTAGTTGGGTATTACAGGCATGTACCTGTAATCCCAGCTACTCAAGAGGCTGGGGCAGAAGAATCGCCTGAACCCAGGAGGCGGAGGTTGCAGTAAGCCATGATTGTGCCATTGCACTCCAGCCTGGACAACAAGAGTGGAAACTCCATCTCAAAAAAAAAAAAAAAGCCAGGTGTGGTGGTACTTGCCAGTAGTACTAGCTACTTGGGAGGCTGAGGCAGGAGGATTGCTTGAGCCCAGGAGGTTAATGCTGCACTGAGCCATGAATGTGCCACTGTACTCCAGCTTGGGTGACAAAGTGAGATCCTGTCTCAAAAAAGAAAAAATAAAGGTAAGAGGCTCTAACAATGTGAATTGGGTATGAGCTTAAATTATGGATGCTTGGTCCTTTTTCTTTTTCTTTTCTTTCTTGCAAGAGGGAGTCTTGCCCTGTAACCCAGGTTGGAGTGCAATGGCTGATCTAATCTTGGCTCACTGCAACCTTTGCCTCCTGGGTTCAAGTGATTCTCCTGCCTCTGCCTCTTGAGTAGCTGGGATTACAGGCGTGTGCCACCACCCGGCTAATTTTTGTATTTTTATTAGAGACAGGTTCACCATGTTGACCAGGCTGGTCTGGAACTCCTGACGTCAGGTGATGTGCCCAGCTCGGCCTCCCAAAGTGCTGGGATTATAGGCGTGAGACACAGCACCTGGCCTTTGGTCATTTACTTCTAAGCACTAACACAAAGGCCTTTTTTGTCCTCCAAGGAAAAATTTAATATATAATAAAGATAAAAGAATGTGTAGTTATGGGAAGGAAAATATAGAGAATAAAAAAAAATGTGTAGTTAAAAGGTAATACATTTACAAGGTTTGAAAGCATGGCTGGGTACGGTGGCTCAGGCCTGTAATCTCAGCACTTTGGGAGGCCAAGGTGGGAGGATCACAAGGTCAGGAGTTTGAGACCAGCCTTGCCAACAAGGTGAAGCCTCATCTCTACTAAAAACAAAAACATTAGCCGGGTGTGGTGGCAGGAGCCTGTAATCCCAGCTATTTGGGAGGCTGAGGCAGAAGAATAGCTTGAACCCGGGAAGGCAGAGGTTGCAGTGAGGCAAGATCACGCCACTGCACTCCATCCTGGGCAACAAGAGTGAGACTCTGTCTCAAAAAAAAAAAAAAAAAAAAAAAAAGTAAAAGTGGGCTGACATGGTGGCTTACACCTGTAATCCCAGAACTTTAGTCGGCTGAGGCAGGCAGATCACTTGAGCCCTGGACTTTGAGACCAGCCTGGGCAACATGGTGAAGCCCTGTCTCTATAAAAACTACCAAAATTAGCTAGATGTGGTGGCAGGTGCCTGTTGTCCCAGCTACCCAGGAGGCTGAGGATCATCTGAGCCTGGGAAGGTCAAGACTGCAGTGAGTCATGATCATGCTACTATACACTTGCCTGGGGGACAGAGCGAGAACCTGTCTCAGGGGAAAAAAAAAAAAAAAAGGTATAAGTAAAATTCAGAAAGATATATATAAGGCTGGACATGGTGGCTCATGCTTGTAATCCCAGCACTTTGGGAGACCAGGGTGGGTGGATCACTTAAGGTCAGGAGTTTGAAACCAGCCTGGCCAACATAGTGAAATCCAGTCTCTACTGAAAATACAAAAAAAATTAGCTGGGCGGGTGGGCGTGGTGGCTCATTCCTGTAATCCCAGCACTTTGGGAGGCAGAGGCAGGTAGACCATGAGGTCAGGAAATTGAGACCATCCTGGCCAACATGGTGAAACCCCATCTCTACTAAAATACAAAAAATTATCCAGGTGTGGTGGCACATGCCTGTAGTCCCAGCTACTTGGGAGGCTGAGGCAGGGGAATTGCTTGAACCCAGAAGGCAGAGATTGCAGTGAGCTGAGATCAGGCCACTGCACTCCAGCCTGGCAACAGAGTGAGACTCCATCTCAAAAGAAAAAAAACTGGCTGGGCATGGTGGCACATGCCTGTAATCCCAGCTACTCAGAAGGCTGGGGCAGGAGGATCACTAGAACCCACAAGGCGAAGGTTGCAGTGAGCTGAGATTGCACCACTGCACGCCAGCCTGGGAAACAAGGCAAGAGACTGTCTCAAACAAACAAACAAAAAACACGTGGAGAAGTCAAACAAGTTTCCATCCAACCTTTCTTTAGCATCTACTTTAGGCAACTATTTGAATCAGTTTCTTGTATTTCTAGGTTTTTTTTTTTTTTTTTTAAATAGATTTTTTTTTTCTTTCCTTTCTTACATATAAAGCAGCATCATATAAATTACAGTACTAATTGGTTTTTGCAGGTAATAACTGATTATATAACTAAAATATTATTGGAAGGAGCCTTATATTTTAATCCATTTGCTGTGGTTTGATTGTTTGTCCTCTCTGGAACTCATGTTTAAATTTAATCCCCAATGTGGCAGTATTGAGAGGTGGAGCCTTTAAGAGTTGACTGGGTCATGAGGGCTCTGCCATGGATTAATCCATGGATGAATGGGTTATTATGGGTGTGGGACTGGTAGCTTTGTAAGAGGAAGAGAGAGACGTGAGTTTAGCAATCTTGGCCTCCTTGCCATGTGATGCTGCCTTGGGACTCTGCAGAGTCTCCTCCAGCAAGAAAACCTTCACCAGATGTGGCCCCTTGACTTTGGACTTCTCAGCCTCCATAACTGTAAGAAATAAATTCCTTTTCTTTATAAAGCACCCAGTCTCATCTATTCTGTTATAAGCAACAGAAAATGGACTAAGATATCATTTACTGAAAAAGCTTTTATTGGGCTCGTGTGTGCCAGGTGGATGGTAAGTCAGCACCGGAAGGCTGGCGAACTTCCTATTCGCAAGGAGCTCATGGTCTGGTGAGAAATTCCTTCAGCAGAATCCCTACTTTATCACTGTGCTGCCTCAGCTGAAATAGAAAATGGGGGTGTTCACTACTTCCAGAGATTGTTTTATTTACTATGCAGTTTGTTTTTGTTTTCCTAATGATGAGCTGAAATGTTCCTCTTTGTAACTTGTATTTTTTCTGGTTTAGACTTTAATATCATGAAATGATGAGACCATTTCTTATATTACTTTGATTTTAGTAATTCACATGCTAGACTTGGATCACCAGTTTTCTTTCATTCTCCAATTAAGAGCTACACTCACACCCATTTGACTAATAATGTTCTTTAGGGTTTGAGTGATGAACTCGTCCTTGTGGATGATGATGAAGGCAAACTGAAGGGTGAGACAATGGATCTTCAACATGGCAGCTCCTTTATGAAAATGCCAAAAATTGTCTCCAGCAAAGGTTAATGTCATAGTTAAATACTATAAATATTCTAATATACATGAATGCTAAGAAAATCATCTTTGTTTCCTTTGAAATATGTCTAAGAAAATCATCTTATTTCCTTTGAAATATGTCTAAGAAAATCATCTTTATTTCCTTTGACCTCCCAGTTTTTATACATAAGGCTGGTTGCTCCCTACTCTGTACTCTCATAACATGTTCAGATCCCGTAGGTTGTACTTTATTTGCAAGGTTTCCCGCAATAGCAGACTAAGTTCCGTGTGAGCAGCAGTAACAGCAGTTAAGACAGCTATAACAAATTGACTGCCTACTGTGTGTGAGACATTGACCTAAGCACTTTATTATTTAATCCTGAGCACAACTCTGTATCTTAGAGATGATGGACCTCTGAGCTAAGGTTAAATAAAAGTGATGGAATAGGGACGTGAACCCTGTGCTGTTTGATTCCAAAGTCTAAGCTCTTTGCTACTGCACTTTATTCACTTGGCACCTGGGAGATATTGAACCAACATCTCCCTGTTTGAGGGTTTGTTTACACATCTGTCTCTAAATATTCTTGCCAGACTAATCCATATTTTGACCTCTTAAATAGTACAAAAAGTATTTTAGGAGGTGTTTTTTTTTTTTTTTTTTTTTT